GTAAAGTCGGTATTATATTTTACATAACGTTTATACTGTTTATTATACTCTCGGGGGTATTTGCAAATGTATATATATTGAGTAAAGATATTCAGAAAGACAGTAAAAAAAAACAAATATATTTTATTATTACAAGGTATTTCGGCAATGAGTATCGTTATAAAGTTTGCGGATTTGGTTTCACAAAACAATGGTTCGGGTGAATATTCAGAATGGATACAGAAATTGGAACTGGTAGCAAAACTTCAAAAAGTTGACGAGCTGCATGTGGTGTTCCCCTTTATTTTTTTCTGGTAGGGCGTTTGCCGTTTATCAAGGCCTAAGTGATGAGATAAAAGAAGACTACAATGAAGTGAAAACTGCACTGACTACTGCCTTCTCTGCTTCTCCGCTAACAGCATACGAAGAGTTTGTAAATCGCCGTCTTAAAGAGAATGAGTCCGTTGACGTATATCTCGCAGAATTAACAAGACTGAGCAAGCTAATATCATCTCACGTAAGCGAAGAGTGGATAAGGTGCGCATTTATTCTTGGGTTACCTAACGAAGCAAGAAAACAGCTGCAAACTGCATGCTCAATATCAACAATGTCGCTGTGCGAGATTGCTGAAAAATCCAGAAGTTTGGTAATTTTACGTCGCAAAGAATCGTGTCTTGTCAGTTGCGTGAATCCAATTGCCATTAGTTCAAAACAGGTTCCTAAAGGACGCGGAAAAAAGATCATAACGTGCTACCGTTGCGGTGAGGATTGACATATCAGTCAAAATTGCAGCAAAGAGATTGAGAAGAAGAGGCGCTTTGTGTGTGGAATGGACAATCACCTGGCCTAGTACTGCTATAAAAGGTGTGCGAACTCAAAAAACGTGGGAGGGAAGCCAACCGTTTTTGTGGAGCGGCTTCCCACAAAATTTAAAACCGCCAACTCTCCGCGTATATGTCAATGGAAGAAAAATAAAAGCATTGTTAGATACTGGATGCTCAATTTTAAGTCGGGATATTGTAAACCCAAAAAATGTCAAACATGCAAGCGAAAAGGTTGTTATGATGATTGGAAATTAAAGTACAATACCAGACTGTTGTTAATCTTTCTTTAAATGATACCACCATCGATTTGGAATGCCTGGTTGCCAACATTATTCCCGAATATCAAATGCTACTTGGCAAATTACAATGTAATTCATAGTGGGTAACGTCAATAGCTAAACGGTACCAGCTCTTTTCAACTTCAAGATTTCCTTTAGGAACTTTGGGTATGTTGTCACGTCACCTTTAGGAACTACAAATGTAATGGCATCATTCCGTTGGTGGCAGTAATTCAACGAAACAAATTAAAAGTACGTCCGGTGATGGACTACCGGGAGCTGAATCAATTTGTATCCAGTAATACTGCAGATGGCGATGTTTGCAGTCCAGAATTCGCAACTGGAGAAAGTTAGGAGAAAATCTTGAGATAATCGATTTAAAAAAAGCGTACCAACAGATTCGTGTCGACGAAGCATTATGAAAATATCAAGTTGTGGAATATGAAGGGCAGCGATATTTTCTAACAAGATTGGGTTTTGGTTTAAATGTGGCGCCCAGAATAATGACAAAAACCTTAAAAAAGGTATTATCCTTAAACAAAGTTGTCGAGTCTGGGACGGATTCATTTATTGATGACATCATTGTCAATAATAACGTAGTGTCAAGTAGAGTTGTAGAGTTCAAGAACTCTTGAAAAAATATAGCTTGGATTCTAAGCTGCCAGAAAAACTTGTCGGTGGGCGTGTGCTTGGGTTGCGAGTGTACAAACAAAACAACCAAGTGCGTTGGAAACGCGACAACATACCCAAAGTTCCTAAAGGAAATCTTAAAGATAGAAAGAGCTGGTACCGTTTAGCTATTGACGTTACCCACTATAAATCAGAGATTTATTTGTCTATCATCGACTGTGGCAAAAGGAGCAAGTTTGCAATTTGGAGGAAGCTACAAAACGAGAAAAAAGCAACAGTGTGTTTCCATGTAGAAGAAATATTTCGAGAAAGAGGACCTCCGTGGCAAGTTCTTCTTGACAACAGCAAGACCTTTTGCTCAAAACTCATTGGTGAATTATGCGCAGAATGGGGAGTGTCCATTCTGTTTCGTTGCACTTACAGGCTATCTGGAAATGGAATTGTTGAACGTCACCATCGCACAATCAAGCGCATGACAGCAAGAAGTGGCAAAGATCCGTTAAAAATGGTATATTGGTATAACGTGGCTCCCAGAAAAAATGGCGAGAAAGCATCGTTTCCCTACGAAGCTATATTTACTTATGAGTGGAAACCACATACAATTTTTGCCAAAACTAACGAGGAAGTTCTCCACAACCACACCCAAGGACAAGAAGTATTTGTAAAACCACCTGATTCAAAATGTACTAGCGAATAGAATAGAGGAAGAGTCTCAGATGAAGGACGAGGAGTTTCGGTAGAAATCAATGGATTGCCGAGACACATGTCGGACGTCCGTCCAGCTCCCATTGTAGCTGACTTGTCTACGAGAGAACCGGAAGAACCCACCGCGAACAACCTGAATCTCAGAAGGTCGACGCGTGTGCGGAAGTTTCCGAATAAGTATGCGGACTTTGTGATCTAGAGATCAAGGGGTGTTATAATTAGTGTAAATATATATTTACACTTGTATTATATATAAACTATTAACGTGTTGCGTCAGAAGGAATGTTGTGGGCGCGTCGTATATATTATATTGTACATAACCGTTTATACTGTTTATTATACTCTCGGGGGTATTTGCAAATGTATATATATTGAGTAAAGATATTCAGAAAGACAGTAAAAAAAAACAAATATATTTTATTATTACAAACAGGAAAGAATTTAGAAAAATCAGGGAAAACTTAGGGAAAACTCAGGGAATTTATAGAGTTCAACTCAGGGGAAAATGTTCTTTATTCAGGGAAAAATGTTCTTTACTCAGGGAAAACTCAGGGAAAAACTTTGAAAATTATAGTGGCAACCCTGAAGAACCAAAAGCATGCAAACGATGTAAACAGGCTGTATGTGCATAAGGGTGTATAGGTGTAATGTATAAGTCTGTGCTGTTTATGTCGTTCAGTAGAGTCTTGTATTGTTAGTAACCAGCGTAAAAGATTTGTTTCTGAACTAAACCAAGCCAGCCCAGCCATACTCTGATAATGAGCTTAAAGTAGTTAAAAGTTTAGCAAAAAGTCTTGAGCTGATTGTTTTAGGTTCTGAAATGATTTGTAGAAGTAAAGCAACATTATTAACAGCTGACGACACATTAAAATTTATTATTACAGAACTTGATGCTCAAAGTAGCTATTTATCAAATAATCAGAAGAATGCTCTAGTTGAAAGGATAGGTCAAAGAAGGAAAAGTGATCTTGTTGGTTTATTAAGGTTTTTACATAATCCACAATCTTTAAAAAGTGATATGTATAACAACTTACTATCTTAAAACAGAGATGATAAATATAGCTATTGACATAACTGGTAGACTTTTCCCCATAATTAAAAATATACCAAAAGTAGGAGATAATGATAAGTTTAACAATAGTTAAACTTATCATTATCTCCTATAATGTAAATTTAGAAAAGTCATCTGAATCTATGGCTGAAAGATTAGACAAATTTTTGAGGAAAAAAGACAACTTTGTAGTCAGTTGTAATAAATCAACTATGCGTCAAGAATTCAATTTGCTTGAAGCAACTAACGAAAGATCATACAATTTAGATATGCTTTACAATGTACTTTTAACTATTCGACCTTCCAGTGTTGAAGCTGAACAAGTGTTTAGCTCAACATGCTTATTTTTTACAAAGTTTAGAACTAGATTGTCAGACAGGCATCTAGACTGCACTGGTTTTTCGAAAAGGTCACTTTAAATCACAAAAATAATTTTAAAAACAAAGTGAAAAGAAAAATAAAAAAATATATATATTTGTATTTTATTATGTAAAATGTACTGTAATGTAATAAATGTACTTTCCCGGGATCCCGGGAACAAGTAAATAATTCCCGCTATCCCGGAATGGAAAAAGTCCGGGAAATCGCAATCCTTATTAGCAACTCAATCAAGCTCTAAAAAAAATGTTAAGCACAACCAAAAAAAATTATAAAAAACTTTTTTTGACCACGCTAATGTTCAAGAACAGTTTAACGAACAATTATTGCATTGGAAGCAAATAGACTTTAGTAGCAATCCAAAACATTATTCACGAATTTTTTTTTTTAAATATTTCATTTTATTTATGATGCTAACTTTCCGATTTGTGAAAAGACTTTAAGCTTCAATTCACCTTGAATTACTAAAGATTTTTCAAAATCATCTCAAGTAAAACAAATTAAATATAAAATATTTAAAAACAAAGTCAACTGCCACAGCAGTTATTTTTGATCGATTTTTTCCCACTGTTTTTTAAGAAATACAAAAGTTTATCAAAACTTGGTTCAAAACATCCGTCAATAATAACTTTTTTGGAAAGATTCCAAAAAATTACAATTTTTAACATTAAAATAGGCCTATAAATGCATTATTTACATTTATTTTGTTAAATAGAAAATAAAGTTTAAACATAAGACATTCTTTTTTTTATAAAATCTACTTGTTAAAAATAATATAGAAATTGGAATTTAATTTCTTTTAAATTGAAATACAAAGTAAATTTGAAATTTAATAAATTATTCAATAAATATACTAATTAATAATAAGTCTATTTAATAAGTATTTTTTAAATACTTATTAAAAGTATAATTAATTTTTTTCTTTTATAAAAGTTATTTAAGGTATTTATTAAATACTCTAACTCTTTGATATCTATACTCTTCTCTCTAACTTGTTATACTCTAACGTTTGTAATATAAAGTTTATTTATGTTTACGTTTTATTAGTTGTTATACTATTAGTAAATATTGAATTTATTGAGCATATATTTTAAGTAATTATTGATTGATTGATTATGTTATTAAATATTTAAATACGCAACAAAAAATACGGGGACTTTTTTTATATAAAGTCATCGTCCGTTGTAATAGTTATCATTAATTTTTTATTGTTGATGGTACAAAAATTGTAAAATTGTGGCAACGTCTGTCAAGACATTGAAAAACGTGGTACAGATTGTAACACATAATTTAATAAAAGAGGGTTGTCATCTATCTTCATTGATGGCTGGAAATTTAACATTTAAAAGGTACTTCATTATTCAACACAAATAAAAAAAATCAGTATAAAATATGCGAACGTATTATAGTTTGACACAAAGAATTTGAAGCGTCAGTATAGATTAAAAGGAAACAAATTGTAAAATAAATTATAAGTCATTTAAAATATAACTATTATAGTTTCGTTTGATAGATATACTTTATTTTTAAAGATGCGGTAAAAGAAAAAACTGCTCCAAATCGGCAAACCTTGTATCAAAATAAGATACCAAATGCACTGTAATGCAATCATTTTGGAACTCTTCGCCTGTTCAGAAACAATTACATTCAAACAGTTTGTTGATAAATATTAGATTCTTTTCTCAAATTAATGCAACTAAAGGTTAGTTATATTATCATTTCATTAATACCATTGTTAATAAAAGTTACATATAGTTTTTTTTATCCAGTTTGTGTGTGTTTTTTGTACATATTGTACAAATAAATTGATTTTTAGTATCACAAAGAGAGCAAATAGATAATGATATTGTGACCCTCGAAAAAAAAGAAAGAACCTATTGAACAAAGTGTTGATGCTGTCTTATTTGAGCTAGCAGATATTGAAAAAGAGTTAAATGCTTTAAACGCCTAATATGTAAAAGTAAAGTTACTGGTTGAGCAAAAGCAATATTCGATAACAAAACGTTTAAATAATCCTACAACAGAATTTATGATAAATGATACATGTCAACAAAATATAGAAGACGAGACGAGTCACGGAAAATTATGGATTTTATTTATGGTGGCAGTGATGGTACTATTTATGGTGCATGGGATCTTTTATGCAGCATATCACCAATAAAATTGATGGAACATTTTACAACAAAGTACAAAAGAGGAAAATTCCTTGAAAATTTATGTGGCTAAATTTCAAATAGTTATGTCAAAAGTAAAGCTGGTATAAACAAAGCAGTTGCATTAAAATATGTTAACTATTTATCACGGCGTAAGTACAACATGTTATGCAAAGTGCAAAAATCTACATTTTCGGTTGATTCAAGTTCAGTAAATTCAGTTCAATACGGTAATCTTTGAATTGGATATGTCAAATGTTTCAAATAAAACTGTTGAAAAATTTGTTAAATTATTAGACATCTGTGAAATCCATCAAATACCAGGTTATAGTGGAACAGTGACAGCATTAGTGACAATGATAACTGATTTAAATTTGAAATTAAAAACTCTAAACGAAAAACTTATTTGGTTTAATGGTAACATTACCCATTTTGTTGTTGAGTTTTTTGATGATGGAACTCCAGAGTCTAAAGAAAAAAACTTGACAATTGAGACTTTATCAATGTGAAATTTCGGCAAACGCATTCGCAGTAGAGAGTTTCATTATCCTCTACATATAATAACAGCCAGTGAAAAAGATATAGTATGCGAATTGTTGTGGAAGCAGCAGTTTGAAGAAATGGAATTAATTGAAGGCAATGTCAACTCAACATCACTAACATCAAAACTAGTTTTGAATTTGTTTCATCAGTCGATATTTCATAGTTGTGTTTTGCTGCAATTGTGTTACCTACAAGTGCAACATATCCTTCACCTTTTCCAAATGTGCATAAGTGTGAATCAACACAAAGAAATAAAACCATTGGAGGTGCAGAGGCAACATGTCAAGTACCAACCATGGATACGTGAATTAAGGAATTATCAATGCTGAAAAACTTTGAGAACACGCAAACTATAAATGCTTACAATTATGCAAAACATAACAATAAATTGAACTTTATGGTAGATAATCGAATTCGGCAACTTGGAGAATCGCTTATTGCGAAATTTGCTGATTTTATTCGCCCTGAACCGCTTCATTTAGAAATAAATAATTGGCAACACGATCTTGATTTAATTTATAAAGAATTAGTACGTCGTGGAGTTTTTGAAAAATTTTAAAGTTGTTTAAGTAACCTACCTAAAGAATTAGATGATTTAGGCTGCAGGTTAAAGTTTCTTGCAAACAATATTAGAAAATATTATCAAAATGAAAGTAAGAGAATAAATAAATTAGAGACAAGACTAATTGGAGCTCAAGCTGTTGCATTAGGTCAATATAGTTTTCGTCTTGTAGACACTTTGCAAGTTGCTTACAATTAATATCCAGAAACTTAAAAGAGTTGCATTAGCTAAAATATGTGAATTTTTATGTTACAGCAGAAAATTATCCAGTAGAAGTTGCTAAATATTGCAGCACATATTTTAGTTTGTTTTTATTATTTTTCCCAGAAAGCTGTCAAAGTACGGTATGGACATTGGGATATGTTTTACCATATCTTGCTTTGGAAATATTTACAAAATATCATGTTGGCTATAGAGTTTAATCTATGCAGAAAAAGAATCGAAACACTCATCTATTAAACAGTAACTTAGAAATAACAGTAATCGTTCAGTTTTATACGACAAGCAAGATAAATGGCATGAACTGATGAGATCTAATTTTGTCAGAAACTTTATCTCCTTTATCAGTTCCTTTTAAACATCCCTTACCAATCACACTACCAATCAAGAGTACTAGCTGACTGGAACGATTTAGTGATGAAAACAAACTTTTAAAACACATAGCATTGCACACCCGAAATCAAATAGTCAATATTATTCCAAGAGAACTTTCTTTAAAACAGTCGAAGAATGAATTGAGACTCCGCAGTAAATGTATTAGGGGAAACAAAGTAGAGTTAATTGAAAGATTAGAGGGTTATTTAACTTAATAGATCAATTATTATTATTTAGTATAGATATTTTAATATATAAGAATAGTTATTTTTATATCTGCTAATATTTTCAAAAACAACACAATTTTAGATATTGCTTAATTTACGTAACTATTGCTGATAATCATCCAAGATTTGCTTAAGTAACATTTTTACAAATTATTATTGAAATAACACATTTCATTTTTAACTTTATTTTATTTATAGTGATACCTATAATTTTATAGTGTTTATGTCTTTGCTATAGACATTGACGTTTATACCATATAAGTGGCAGATATTTTTTAAATTAAGCACATATATACAGCTACTTTGATACTGGTAAAAACTGCCCTATTTAAATGGTTTGTGTCATTATACTTTGAATATTGACATTGAAATGCTTATACTTTATTTGATATCGGCATTATTATTATGTATAGTCTTTTTGAGGTACTAGCCGTTAGGGCATTATAACTAAAATATATCATAGTATATTTACTGTTGTTAATAAAAGTGACAATTAAATGGTATTGGAATGAGTTAATTATACAAAACTATTTCTTTTTATAATAATAAAAAGTATACTTTAATACATAAATGCAATATCTTCTTTTGATATTATTTGTGACTGTGAGTTCTATCTTATAAATTTTTATATTTTACAAAAATAATTATATTACATATAAATATATTAGATAAAATTTGACATCTAATATTGCGTCTTACTTGTTGCTTTTGATTCAAAGTAAAACATGCAAAATAACGCTGTTATATAACTGCAGGCCATCAAAAAGCCCCTTAATTAAGCTAGGTCGATGCTGGAACCACCCACTACATTTGTTTAAACTAAATATGTTAGCGAAGATGAGCATGGCGTGCAGCCTAACATTAAGCTATTTTATGGCAACAGATTATTGAGTATATTTTTTTATTAGTTGTAACAGCCATCAGGCGCTAGGCAAATTGAGATATTGGCTAATATAGCGCTTGCAATGGCAGGGTTGCTAAGGGGTTTTACACCGCCTGGGACAAAACCCCTGAATGGCGTCTCTATTTTTCAAAATTTCTCTTATTATCACTAAAGGACCTATTAGCTTTTTTTTTTTGTCTTGCTACTACCTTACATTAAACTCTTAAGTATTGATTCAGCTATTATTGAAGTAATTTAAATTGGCATTCCGAAAATGTCTTTTTATAAGATGAAAAAATGTTTTTACAAAATTTATATCGTGACATAAGGGGTCTTCCATAAAGTACGAACGCTTTTTTTTCGTCCATCCCCCGCGCCATCCCCCCCCCCCGCATTATGCAATACGCTTTTTTGAGTACCCTCCACCTCCCTAAAAGTAACCTCGCTTTTAACCTATTTATCTAACATTTAAGATATTTTTGTTAATTTAGTGTCTCCTTTTTTATATGAATGACCCATTGCCCTCTCATCTCACTTGCCATTTGAAGACCTCCTCTTCCCTCCGAGCGTACATACTTTATCGACGATCCCTATTTGTCAAAAAATTTCATATGAAAAGTTGTGTACGAACCTTGTATTTCATATTTTTAAAGATCATTAGTATACGTTATACTAAAAGTTTAAAATTAGGTTTACAGTAAAGTATACCGTGTGGAACCAACCAAACCAAGTCAAATGTAAAAAAAGCCTTTAAGTTTTAGCCGAAGCTTCAACAAGTCAAAACATGGAATGGGAACAGTGTGAATTCAAAATGCAAGTAGTTTTGGCCATAATAATTGAAATAACTAATGTAATTTAATTTGAGGTTTTTATAAAAAAATGAAGAAATTACCATTTACAGTATACAGTACATTAAGTTCATCGTATACTTGGTATACTAATAGTTAGTATAGGGTAGACCCTATACTCAAGTTTATAATTGGTTCCCAGTATACTTGAAACTGTTTTTGTAAGGTCATGTCTGATGGGCCAATCTACCCCGCTACATGTTTTTTTTATAAGCATATCGCTTATAAGAATATGGAGGCTCAGATTTGGAAAAAAAAAAGCATATGAAAGCATATTGTTAAGTCTCAACTTATCTTAAATTACAGATGCTTTTGAGCGTAGTTCAACTAATACTGAGATTCTCAAAAGTGCATGAAAACTATTTAATGAAGTTTGTATCATGCAAAATCTGTATCATAAATCTATATGCATGTATTATAAATGAAAAAATTATATATATGTTTCAGAACAGAAGTTTATTTTTGGTTTGCTTACAAGAACGCACATGTTTCTGAAAAATATTGAAACAAGCATATTTTAATAAATATGCTTAAGCAGCTATATTATATTATTCATACGAGGCGTCATACGAATACGACTTATTCTAGTATTGAGCGTTATTTTACTGACTACGTATTCTATTGAAAATCTAATGTAAATTCTCAATACAATACTCAGTCAGTAAAGTAACGTTCAACATATAACTGTATAACTTATAAGTTATACACATAGTCAGGGTATAACAAAGTTATGTCATTTGCAATTAAATTTTTTTTTTTAAATGTATTCAACATACCTGAATCCTCCCCACACCTTTATCATCCAAAAACTTCTTTATCATCCTCAACATCCACAGAAACATCCCCACACCATTATCACCACCCCTATCTCCACAAACGCGCCTTATGGAGATGAAAACAGGAAAAAAAAAGAAGATTATCTTCTTTTTTTTCTGTTTTCATCTCCATAAGGGTACATTAGATATTACCCTACGAAAATGTTATGAGGCCATCGATAAAGG